AAAGAGAAGAACCGATCAACAGAAACAGTTGATTCAAGGACCAGGATTCAAGCAAGAACTTCTCTAAGAACTGTCCCAAGTTCACTATTGACTCAAGCTGTGTCCGGCGAGTCAGAATCACCGCGAGTCATTTCACAGATGAACATGAATTCTGTCATTTGCAGTATATATAGGTTGCCATCATCATTAAGTCGCAGGTGTTCCATGTTCAGAACAGCCCCAAAAACACGTCACGACCAACCAAACAAATCAGGCGACCGCACCGCGGGCGCACCCAGTCCGCCAGGTCCTCGAAACTGCCCAGCGCGCCGCATGGGGCGCCCTGCAGCTGCGCCGGACGCTGCGCGCCGCGGTGGGACGGCGGCGGAGGGCCACGCTGGCGCGGTGGGTGGGGGCAAGGTGGGCCAGGGGTAAGGTAGACTTTTATATCTCTTGATAAAGAACCTCCCCATTATCATGGATTGAACAATCTTTTCATTAATGGTGTTTTATCAATCTACATCAAAAGAATGGGTGGAAGAAGGTGAAATTGGCGGAAAGATCGTGGAATGAATTGGAGTTCCCTTGCAGAGTGCTGGATAATTTGGGAGGCACTGATTGCCAACGAACTGTCTTTGTGTATTGTTCCTTTTCGCGTTTCTGTGCTTGGGAGAGCTGAGAGCTGAACGAGCGTCTTCAGGCTTGCGCTTTGTCTCATCTTGCAGCCAACAAGAGGTCATTCATGGGAGAGTTGCATGCAACACTTTGGAACAAGTTAGATTGATGCAGGCACCCAATCATTGCGAGTACATCCCTGCCCCCCCCCATGATGTGTCCCCAACGGCACGCCGGAGCACGCCGGTTCGTGGGTCGATCGGGGGGGTCGCCGTCGAGGCCGCCTGGCGAAACTTCATACTGCCTGGTCCCATGCAGTTGATGCTGGCACATGTGAGAGGTCCGGCGTTTTTTCGACACTAAACGAATTGATAGCCAGGAATGAGAGTGAAAACAAGGGTGAAGACTGTGGAGAGGGGTGAAGGTCCAGAAGGTTCGGAACCGAATTCAATCATCATGTTCATATAGCTTATTATGATAGAATGCAGCATGATTCCTTGCTTTCGAGAAAAATATTCAGCTGAAAGTCATTGTTTCAGACTCCGTCGGCACAGGACCTTGCCCCTCACTTCAATGGCGCATGTTGTCCACCCGAAACACCGACCGAGACTGGTTGCTGAAGCGCGAAGAAGACAAGGTGGGCGGCGGGCGGTGTGGAGGATTTGCGTTGGGGCTTGTACGGGGCGTGTACGGGGCCCAGACCTTTGTTTAAAGATGCTTGGCACTTCGGTTTTTACATGTTCTGGTAAATTGCTATGAGTATGTCAGCCTTATTTGGATATCGCAGCACCTTTTTGGTTTGTGACTGAGCCTTTTTTTGGGCTTGGACCAAAACGTTCATCTACTGTTCCTTCAATATCTCCACCAATGTCGAAGAGCAGATCTCTCTAAAATGTGGAGGCTATAGATATATAAGAATAAGTACTGTATAACCAAAGAAAAAACTATATGCAGCAGTATCCAAACAACAGCCACAACAAAAAGCAGACCAAGAACAAACACCCTTCAGTGATTACGATTCGCAGCGACTTGAATGGCCATCCAAGGAGATTCCACGCCAACCATCATGAGGTTCCAAGCCACCCCCACTACCACCACAGCCACCACCATCACCCACTTTCCTAGGACCAAAGCAGTGAACATCCTGACTTAAGGACAGTGGGGGGTGGAACCAACTACCCAAGCTATCAAGGCAGCTTCGGAAATCCTGCACAGGACACTTCCCCTACAGTATTGTTTTTTTCGTGTTTCAAGACCCGTGGCCCGTGATCCTCCTTGCTCCTAGTAGCGATGCCAGGAGCCCCTAGTAGCTTCTTGCTCCTAGTAAGGCCAGGAGCCCCGTTCGTAGCGTATGCTATATCCTCCTTTACCTTAAGTCTAAATGAGACGTTTGTCGCTGACCCGCTGACCCGCCGACCCGAGGTGAAAAGCTCCACCCACCCGCCGACACGCGCTGCGGTGCAAAGTGCGCGGCTCCTGGCCGCGGTGCTGGGCGTGGCCCTGCGGCGGAGGTGGCAAAGTGCATTCGGCTCCTGGCGAACGACGGCAGGGTGGCCCGGTGTTTCTGGGGAGATGAATCTGATGAGTGCATAGATGCAGCGAGGAAGTCGAGTTTGGTGTTATTCCAGCACTATTCAGAAGTAAGTAGTGTAGAAGACTTGACAGAAGTGAGCTGTGTTGGGATGCTGATCCAAGTTGCATGGAGTTGCCAATGGCCAAATGACTATTTGGCCAGAATTCGGAAGCACATTGATTCGAAGACGCTTCTTGGGGGTAGTTGAATCATTCTCCACCTGCCGACACTGGCCGACACCCACAATTTGAGCGCTTTCTTTCGAGAAGCCATCCATGCTTGACTGAAGAACTGTGAAGGTCGTGGAGCTGCTAAAAGCAACTATTGTGTATAAACCCACGCAAAGCCACTTTTCTTGGTTTAGAGGCTCAAAATCAATGGAGACACTGCATAGCACTGAAGGTGGATCTGCGTGTACAGATGTTCAACTGAAAGTTAGTTGGTGAGGTTCCCAGAACGGCAGTATGACTGCCCTCCTTTCTGTGAACTTTTTGAGCAAAGTCCCTCACGAAGGCTTGTTACCTCACGGGATTAAAGTAGCTCAAACGAAGGCAGCCGGCCAAAAGTTTCTTAATGCATCTTAACTCGCAGAAACAACAACCATGCATCATGCTTCTTCATACAACAGCATACAACGCCTATTCTGGCAGACATCAACGCTGGGTTTGCACACAAGCCATCTGACGACAGGCCAAGTATGCAGGCCCAGTCGCACAGGCGATGAGTTTTGGGCGGTGCTTGGTTGGGTTCGATGGTCCTTGGGTTGGTTTGGTCTTGTATAGTTTGGTGCCTGGGGTCTGGGTAATAGGTAGGACAATCTGGTTTGTAGAGGGGGTTTCACTCGTGACCAGGAGCACGTTCAAATACATGATGCATACTCTCCAAAGTTGTTCACCGCAGATGCATGGCTAGAGCTGAACAGCAAACGAAGAAAAACCAACAGTCGACGATCACCGTTGCATAAATCTCCTGAAAATCTGGTTGGATCCATATCCATTTGCTCAGTTGCCTATAGTTACATGCATATGTTACATTTTGTGGAAATTCTGCCAAACGGTGGCCAAACACTTTGCGAACAATTTGTGACATCAGTTGCTGCTCTGATGAACATGGCTTTCGCTCGCTCTCTCTCTCTCTCTCTCTTCTCCGTACGCTTTTTCGGCAGTCGCTTGCGGCCAGATTGCACCGAATCTCACGCACGTAATTACTAATTGCAATCAGCCGTGGGGGCCTCCGGTCCCATGGAAATAGCGCGTGAGGTGCCACGAGCTTCGCCGGCTTCATCACAGGAGCTTTCCACCCTGGCCTCGAGGAAGGTTGGAGCAGAGGCATTGAATGGGTGAATCCACTGCTGAAACACTATTGTGATCTTGTGTTTAGCTATGTGTGTCTTTTATTTGCGCATGTTTGACAATCGCGCCAATATTGTTGTTTTGTGTTTGTTTGATTTGTGTTTGTTTCCAGTGAACAATCGTCTTAGTGGAACCTCAAGCACTTCAGAAAGAAATGATCAGAACGAACCATTCATTCGTGTTCCCTCATATATCATCATATATCCGCATAGTATGAAGTTACTGTCAGTAGCCGGAAATTGAGATGTGCTGATCAATCCTTGTTTGTTACTTTGTTTTCTCCCTATCGCCAGGGGAGCCTCCATGCACCGATGACTCATCCAGCAGAGCAGCTCGGAGGAAGTAGCGCTTTGCGGCTGTAGCGCTTCGCGAAGTTCTGGAGGATAGCTGAGCTCGAGGATGGACCACCCGTGACAACCCGTGACAAGCCGTGACAAGCCGTGACCTCCCGTGACCATTCTTTTTCGTCGCCGGTGAGGAGAGACTACGTAAGAGACCGAACAATGAGATCTTGATCTTATGAGCATACCGTATGCAGCATAAGCCTCGCTGCGCTTGGGCGCTTGGGATGGAGGATAGGTGATACCAGGCGATACTCGAAAGAACAGCACGACACAATTATATATATATATATATTAGCCCCCCCCCCCCCCCCCAAAAAAAAACTATGTTTCTGAGTGCTGGTGTGCAGTTGGTAAGCATATTTGTGCAGTTGGTAAGCATATTTGTTCATTTAACTATGTACTACAAAAATGTCCAAATCCATAAAGGCTTATCCAGTTGTAACTGGCACTTGTCCAAAGTGGAACTGACACTTTAGGGACCATCATCCACTGAATCATCAATCAGCTATTATATAATGACTCAAACATCATACACACTTGCCCATCCCCATCCCATCATCTGCACCTTGCCAGTTTTCACACCCCCAAGCACGGTCCAATCTGTCAGCACAACTTCATGCGCCGCTGCATGGCTCCGATGACATTCCACAATGCTTCATGAGTTCATGAAAGCTGCAGTCCTTTGGCACACACATGCCACATGCCACGGAGCCATGCACAAAACCCAACCTAAGATCTAAGGTAACTCATCCATCATGGCTTCAAGCCCCGGAAGAACTGGCAAGAAATCGCTTCACAGTAGGATGATCTCGTGGACCCTCGTTGGTCACCCACCTTGGGTTGCACGATGGGACCAGCCAACAACCAGTCAGTTATGATAAGTTCTGCGGAAAGTGCCATGGACAACTGGATGAGACTACTTCTATTTTACAGTCTATGTTTGCCACCTCAAGAGATTGGCTCATATTGGCTTGTGGTTTGTCTCCTCACAACCCTTGACGGTGAATGTTGCATCATAATCATCATAAGTAGACCGACGTGGCAATGCTTTGAATTGCAAGAATCCTACTCAACATCCGACAACGCAACGACTCATCCATTGGAAAAGGATACCAACACAACAACCTTAACTTAGATGTTCACCATTGTTCACCTTCCTGCAACTGCCATGTTGACGCTGGGTTACTTCATCCTGGCATCGGCTGCTTTGGTTTTGGCTGTCTTCGGCGACAATTTTGCAGCTTTGGCTGCCTTGTGGGCGGTGGAGTACACCTTAGATAAACAAAAGGGTCGACGGAAGGGGGCATGTTGGAACCACAAAACAACACTAAGTAGAGTCATAGAGCATAGTAGAGCATTGGAGCAGCTAAATCAAGCTGAACCACAGAGTGCATTTTGGCTTCCACATCGTCTTTGTGCTTCCGTTTCTGGGGTTTGGGTGCAGCTTTGTGTTTCGGTGATGTCTTGCCCCTACGAGTCTTGGCAGTGCGGTTGCTGCCACCGGTGCTTGCCCTCTTAGCCCTTGACTTTGCAGCCATAGGCTTTCTCTTTGGTTCTGGTGTGCCCGTAGGGGATGGTGTCGACGGTGCATCGTTGGCATCTTGTTCATCACCTTCATTGTTGGCATCTTGTTCATCACCTCCATTGTTGCCATCTTGTTCATCACCTTCATTGTTGGCATCTTGTTCATCACCTCTATTGTTGCCATCTTGTTCATCACCTTTATTGTTGCCATCTTGTTCATCACCTTCGTTGACATTGGAGCCATCCACATCAGGGCTTTCAAACTCTGGCAAACCCACATCAGCTGGGATCATGTGGTGCTTTGGGGTTTGAGGCGGGCTGGGTTCATTGCCCGCAAGAGGTTGGTCACATGCCATAGCACCAGTTGGATCCTGGAAGATAGACATATCTAATACATGTTAATATTATTCCTTGCAAAAAGAACTGCTGTGTGTAGATGTAAGCTCAACAATTTGATAGCCAAGGAAGATATCGATGTCCTGCAGTTCAAGCTGATCCGTTCCAGCATCACCATTCAGGACGGTCTCAAAATCATCCGTAGCATTGCTGCGGTGAAGAGTGGTATCAAAAGCTTCCTGCCAATGGAGTTTGAGAAGTTGTTGTTGGTGACATACATGTATACATATACTTTGAAGAATGGAAGGTTTGAGGACATCAGCCATGACAAAACTCAATCAGTCCTTCTCCACTCCAATGGGGGGTGGGCCAGCATCCTTGGAGTCGATGTAGGTATCTGGAAAGTCCTGATAGCACATACCAATGCCAATGTCCCAAATTCACATTGTAAAAGCTCGTCCAAACAATATATATATATACATATTCAAACAGTCCTCCGCTGAAATGGCATGGCCCCCGGCATCCTGGGCGTCGATGTAGGTATCCGGAAAGTCCTGACGACAAAGACCAATGTCCCAAATTTACATTCATTCAATCAGGTGATCAGTCCTTCTCCTCTGAAATAGCCGGGCCCTCACTGGCTCCAATCGAGTCGATGTAGGTACCCAGGAAGTCCTGATAAGACATGCCATAGTAACAGTACAAAAATCACGCGCCGCGTTGCACACATGGATGTCCCTAAGATAACAAGATACATGATTGCCCCAGCCTGGCTGTCAGGCAGGCCCAGCTGATTATCACAAAACTCTGTGGAACGCATGGCTTGCCTGAGCTGAGGGATTGTCCACATTACAAGTTGCAGCGAGTTGTAGCAACACTATCAAGTTTCATGTAAGGGGGCACCATCCAAGGTGCAGCGAGGCATCCGACAGCAGTAATTGTTGCTCGAAGGGATCCTCCAATTGCATACTTTGCGACCTGGTAGAAATGAAGTCATGTAGAACCCGTTAAACATGTTAAAGTGTCTAGTCAGGGTAGAAACCCATTCAGAGCATATAGAAGTTTGAAGGCCTGTAGGAGTTGTACGGATCAGCGTCTTCGATCATATACTGGAACGGTTTGGCCTTCTGAGCCTGCATCATGGATGCAGGTGGTACAAAGTCATCGCACATGGTTTGATGGAAATTGGTATTGAAGCTAGAAGTCCTAATGCAATAACCCGTTAAATGCGCTCTACCAAGCCTCGACAGTGCCATCTGTCTTCTTTTTTGATGGTTTCTTCAATTTACCCTGGCTCTTCTTTGAAGCTGCAGGCTTTCCCTTGGGCTTACCCCTCCCTGGCTTATCCCGACCGCCCACAAGATCATCCAAACCTTCAAGGTCACCAAACGTTTCATCATCATCATCATCATCATCGCTGTCACGCCATCCCCCCAAGGGATTGTTGTCAGCGTCTGGCTCTTCATCATCATCATCATCATCATCATCATTGTCATCTCGTTTATTCTTGCCTTTTTTTTCTTTGGTAGGTTTTTTGGACTTCTTTTCAGGTTTCTCTTTCTTCTGTTTCTTCTCTTTCTTGTCTTTCTTGGAACCTTTGTTCTTCCCACCCAGCGGTGAGGACTCCTCCGATGACTGGACGCGTGCGGGCATGATCTCATTGGAATCGTTTGCGCCTTGGATCATGTGGAACTCAAGTAGCGGGTTCCGATGGGTAAAGCACAGTCAGTTGTACTAGAATGGGCACAACCCTCCACCTCCACCAGAAAAAAACATAAATCAATATTCTGCTTCTACTCAACAAAGCCAGTACACTGGCAGCACTCGCAGCCCCAACCATGTTTGCAACTTGTCGGGAGGGCGCACTGGTAGCTGGAGTCGATGAAGGTCCATGAGAACGGTTCTCCCTCAAGATCTGTTGCAAGTCGAAAACCTAGGGATCAGTCTCAACACAGTGAAGCGCGGATAAACCTATATATACCCACTGAGTTTCCAGGTGCCTTCAAGGGGCAGGTGCTCGGAAGGCAGCGCGAGGTGCAGGCGGGATGTATTGGACATCTGAATCATGACTTGGAGAACGACGCTGCTTTCTCCCAGCCATAGCCACTACCAGCGGTCGCAACAATAGGAGCACCAAGTTCCTACTGGAAGCTACCTTTTGCTTATAAACCAAGTCATCCATATCCAACAAAAGGAAATCAATTCATATCAATTCCAATCCAAAAGAAATCACATATCCTTAAAGTGGTTCAGACTGAATCCAGTTGGACACAGCACTGCGACTCAGGAAGATGTGGGAAGCTGCTACAGTTGCAGAGGCACTTGCTTTTGACGGATTGCCCAGGGTTTCCCGGGTGGCCCAAGTTTTCCCACTGTTCACACTCGCGGCCTTGAAGACGTGTTTTGAGCTATCTTGAATGACTTGACATTGAGCTATCCTTCACTTGTTGTTTGATCAGCCGCAGTGTGTGGTGACGCACGTGGTCACTTCATTTTCACTTGGGCAGAAAGCAGGTGCATTCCTGCAGAAAAACAGGCCATGCTAGTGTCATCACAACTGCTGTTGCAGGCTCCCATCCACAAAAACAGCTGAGCTTGGGCATTTGTATAAAGATGAACATTTCACCAATTGGGTCAATGAAATCTAAAGTTGAAAGAACATTGACATAACAGGGTCATGGTTTTGGAGCATGGCGGACAACTCCCACGGCAACTGTCAGGTCAAAAGAGTTTGACGACAGTCTTATCGAGATCAAGCACGCCACTGAGGCATGCCACTGGACGAATTGGGACCAGGGTTTTCAGCCCAGATCCACTGCCAGCATCCAACCTGGCAGAAGGGCAGTTTATGTGAAAGTTGGTACTATTGGACAAATTGATGCACATACGACAGAGATAATGACCAAATGAGAATATGTTCAGGGGCGCCTCACTCTCCAACCAATCACCAGTCTGGTTGCCTTCTTCACTTTGGCGATGTTGAGAACTGATCCAAAATTCTTGGCTGTCAAAGACCGCCCAGGGTTTGATTTCCGTGGTTTCTTCTTGGGCGGCTTTTCTGCTTCATCTGGGTTCTTTGGAGGATCCAACAAAAACGACAAAGGCTTGTCGCTCTCGATCTTGTCAACCGCCGAGATGGTGTGGTGGGTGATGGCCAATTTCACCTGTTTGAGCGGGCAGCAAATCCATGTGAATCTGCCCAACGTTCAACCCCTCAGGCATTTATGTGATTGAAGCGCTCTCTCTATCTATATACAGAGAGAGAGAGAGAGAGACAAACACTCTCTATGTATGTTCATGCCCCGCCTCCCCGGCATCCTCCAACTCTCGGAGCAGAGTTGTCAGTCGGGTGGGCGACTCCACACATGGCAATCCCTGCAAATGATCTGGCAGCTTGGCTTTCTCCAATATCAGCACAGTGGTTGGTTCTGCACGGAAGCAGAACCACCTCCCGGTTGAGTCTTCCATCAACTCTGTAGCTTCCTTAATCCATCAAACTGATAAAACAAGTTCACTCATCATGGAACCGACTTGCCAATTTCCCTCATCAACCAATCGACTTTGAACCGTGCTGCCTGGCCAACACGCCAATCTCCTGATCCAAAGCTGAACCTTAGAGCTGCAAGTATGTTCATGAGGGCGCCCACCTAATTTTGAAAGGCAGTGCAATGCATTGCACGTTGGTAAATCTATGTAAATCTTTAAATATTTTGGGGGAACCCAGTCGAGCCAAGAGCCAACTCAAGGTAGAGAATATGGGTGAACCTGTGACTGGTTGTTGAAGGGTACCCTGTCAAGGCAAGTAGCAACTCCCGGTACATCAGAAACTGATTCTTGGACCGGCTGACCAGCATCAAAGGTAGTCCATCTGGACCACAGACCAGCTCAGCACAATTGTTGATGGCGAAGGTGTACCTGGGTGGGTGTTTGGGTGGTTCCCTGTTGAAAAGAACTGTTCCCCCCAACGTTAATAGATCAAGTTCTGGTTGGTCGACATGCTGCACCAAAGATTGTCAACAGAAGTAGAAGAAAAATTCCTTCGCAAAACCTTTAGCACATCCTTTGTCATAGGGAAGGCAAGGTGAAGAACAAAGATGCAATTCCCATCAAAGTTGCGGCTTTTGAATGTTGGTTACATCTGCCTCGGTCCCAAGCTCCGATGTCTCCAGCTTGATCCGCTTGCAGGGCCGAGTGTTGGCATCATCTTCATCGGCGTTCCTGGTCAAGGCAGGGATGGGGCCAAACGTTTCCATTTGTTATATGGACCTTTTATGATATAAAGCCGTATAGGTATTCTTTATGCTTGAAATGTCTAGCGTTCCGGATGATCTGTTTCTATGAGACTTCTACACTTAAACATGTCAGTATTGCGTATGTATATATATAATCTATGTTCATCCCTTCCGGCAGAATCTCAGCACTGTTTGTTTCCAGAAAACCTCGGAGACATTTGCACCTCAAATAACATACCTACAACATATAGTTCTTTTGAGCGTAGACCACTGTGAGAACACGCAACCCTATTATCCGAACCCGCCTCTCTTGAACTTCATGCCAATACTCACCCTCTGGATTGAATTTGGAGTTGTGAGCTTCAATTGCAGCGACAACTTCATCTTTGAACTCTGTGTCCATCCACTTGCTCGCTAGGGACTGCAAGACAACCAAGCGATCGTGTTTCTTCAAAGTCACCTGGTACTGCTTCTGTTCATTGGATGGCTGGGTCTCCCGAATGGCTGAAGTCACAGGGCCATAGTCAGGGAAACCTGTGACCTTCAAGTGGCCACCTCTGCAATCCTCATACACTTTGTTGGCCACGCGCAGCACCAGGTCTTCGTGCTGTTTGTCAAGCACAACATTGCCGCAAAGGACGCGGCGCCCCTCCGTGACTTCCTGGTGGTGGGGGTGGACTTGTGTCGACCAGAACTCAATTTGAGTGTTTGTCGGGCGAAGCTCTAAGCAGTGAGCTTAGCTGCAAATGAATGGGTTGAAAGCATCATTGAACATATGCTGAAAGAACATAACATGTTTTGCCGTCCTCAAGCGCTGCTAGTGCTACCCAACCGTCATAGCAATGCAGGTCGGCGAGCAAGCATGTTGACACACTCTCGGGCACAAATGCACCCAAAGTCTTGCGCACAAAGTCCGTGCCACCAGCCACCTGGAGAGGGATGAGGAATCCTGGATGCCCAAAAACCCAAAGGTTCCATGTTGTGCACTTGTGAACCGATTGGAAATGAATGGTAAACCACAACACCAAATCCCTCGACTCGAAACCTGCCGGAGCTCTTGTGCATCCGTGAATGCACGTCCAAGGTGGGGTGCAGAAGAGCGTGCCTCACTGCCCAAATTGGTGCACACTGCGCATAATTGGGTAGATGTGGGTAGACCAAATCAAAGTTATGAAAAACCAAGCCGCATCTGGCTTGAACATGGCCGAGCGGGGGAGCATGGTGACATCTCGAATGATGGCATGCTTCCAGCCCTGGCTTTGCCGGAAGGCATTAAGACGGTCACGGTGAACAATAGCCAGTCCCTGTACGCAGGCATCACGTTTGCCGTACACCGTGGCCTGCCGGAATTAGAGCGCAACTTGACAAAGGGTTTGGAAGTCTCAGTCTTAACACTGTATAGTGGGAGGGAAGACTGGCTATAGTAGGACGCTCCAGGACAGGTTGAAAGGACTTTAAAACGAAAGGTGTCACAAGGATCCCTGTGACACCTTTCGTTTTTGTCCTTTCAACGCTGGTTCAACATACTCTTGAAACACCCTAGCCTTGTCAAACACCCAGGTGAGGTTCTTCACATGGAGGTTGCGTGAGCGTGAGGCCAAAGCTTTCCTCACACAGTGGCTGAGGTGATCCACTAAACCACATTCAGTGTTCTGTTTCTTTTGTATTATCCTCCGCTTAGTTTGGCTATATTCAACTTTAATAAACATCAGTTGACAAAGAAGTTGCAAAAAGGTAATCTGAATCAGCCAACTGGTTTCTCAAGTTTGTGCCGCATATCCCTGATGTCGGACTCTTCTGGATCACCGTTGTCATCATCGTTTGAATCATCATCATCATCATTTGGGTCCTCATCCTTGGCGCCAGCATCATCGTGCTCATCCTTCTCGATCTTCTCCTTCTTCTCGGCTTTCCTTCAAACTTGGATTGGACGCCGAGGGCAGAGGACTAACAGGTAACAGGAAAAGGGCTAGCAGCTAGGGAAGTTATACAGGAAGCTGAGCACGCAACAAACATACTCAATGAACCAGATCAACCAAAACTTGCTCTTTGGAAGAAGGCTCCTGGAAGGGTCCGACGCACGATTGCAATGAACTACAATTGCCAGCCCGTTCCGTGGATAGGCTGCAAGTAGGTTGCTGATGGATGTCAGAAACCAATCATACTTTGCAGCCGGCAGCACACCAACCGTCGTCATGTTCGCCCATGCCACAACGCAGTGATCATCCATGGCTCGCACCTCCTTTGAAAAGCTGAACAGTCATGAGAGACATCGTTTCAGTAGTTCATTTCAGAGGTTTGCTTTTAGCGCTGGTTCGGACAACATCGAGACAAAATGGTGTGAAAAATGTGTTTGAACTGAATCAAATGGTGAGATTCTGGAATGTCAGCCAGGGTGTCACGGATCCACGCAGTGAGGGATGGCAAAAGAGTTGATTCCGCTTCTGTTGATCGTCCGGTGAAGAACTCCAAGTTCGTCTTCACATAGTCATGGACCAAATCCCAGGCTTTCCGGTGCATGTCCTTTGGTATAGGCTGAGCGGCTAGACTGAAACTAGGTAGGCGTTTGCATAATTGGTTGGAAACACTGATTTGGAAACATCAATCCTTTCTTTTTAGCAATATGTAGGCACACTTCAAGCTTTTGTCACTCTGGTAATTAAAAAGGAACTAGGATAAACACCAATATGTTTGGTCAGACCTGGACGATTTCATTTGGGAAGGGCATCAACACTTTCTCAAAAAGCTTATGAACATCCCTTTGTCCTCAAGCTGTGCCACCAGTTTTGATCGCCGTTTGGATTGCTCCATTTCACTCCTTGTGCGCGCAGGAAGACGGACAAAGGTTTCTGTCAACAACAGGAGGCTGGACATTTGGGACGCCAGAGGGAACCAATGGTTGCAGTGACTACTTTCTCGAACAGTAAAGTTAAAATCGGAAAAATGCATCAAAAGAACATGAATGAGGTGACCCCAAACTGCAAACATGTCTCGAGATCCGCTCGCTCTCGAAATTGACCTGGTCAGCTTGGAGCAGCTCCTTCCAAACGTTGTAAGCTGCAGCCATCGACTTGGCGTGGGCGTTCCGGGTCCTATCTTGCGCTTGGCTAATGAAGTCGTCCACGCTCTTGCCACAGATCTGTTGCCGGGCTGGAATTTGACATGCGTGTATCACCATATATCATAATACATATTGACAAACATCATAGTAGTACAAGTGTGAAGGAATGAGACATGTTGACAACCGACCCCCGAACTATGCAGAAAGACAGTTGACCCAAGCAATCTTAGTCAATGTGCCTCCTCACAGTTCCTTTCCAAGAACGAGGGAAGACCATAGAAGAGCAATCAGATATAATATGGCCAAGTAGTGATGACCAACATGCAAATAGCTAAAAATATGATAAAACATGTTGAAGAACTTTGGAAAAAAGGCCATGTACAGCATGTATATGAGCATCAATGGAATCCGGCTTTTTTGGGGGAATGGTGGTTAAAACCCTGGCCAGGCTAAGCTAGATCACCCAGCCTCAAGCACAAAGGGGATGCGCTCCCACTCGAAAGGCTGTGCGGCCTTCATCACTGAGCTCAAGTCGGGGTCCAAGCTCCTGGGTGGTGGGAAAAGCCAATGAATCGTGTGAAAAGTTCCAAATGGTGGAAAACAGTGTATCCCCTTCAAGAGAACTTATATAGACTTTAAATCTATTAGATTTATTGTCTAGTTTTTGAAAGGCCACCAAAAAAAGCAAAAAAGCAATCACACTTAGGAACCAGAGGCTAGCCCTGGGATTGTGACGGGTTTCTGGGGAATCCCTTGATGATCCATATGGTAAAAAAAATATCAATCAACGTGAGGATTGTAAAACTTATCAAGGACAAGTGATTGATTGCTTCCATATAATCAAAATGGTGACGGGTTTTCTGGAAAACCCATCACAATTTCATCCTGACCGTGGGATCCCTTATGTGATTTGTTTTTCTATGTTTTTGTTCGCCGACCGCCGGAGTCCGGCCAAGTACAATTTCTAAATTGTGACGGGTTTTCTGGAAAACCCTTGATGAATCATCATGCGCCGCCGGGATTTCGCCCCGCCGGAGTTTCGCCAGATGGGTTGACCTCACAAATTTGATGGGAAGCCCCTTGAAACCCGAATCAATCGCATAGCAAGCATCCCTCTCTCAAACATTGCCTCATGCTGGTCCAAGACGTTCTTGGGGAACATCTGTTGCATCTTTGGCCGAAGCCAATGCCAAAGAAGGCAAATGTCATGCAGCAGCAGCTGGCCCTCTTCATCCAATTGAGCTTTCTTCTGAGCAGGGTGATGAAGAATGACGGAGACAAGAAATCAAGAATCTTATGAACTACAATTACAGCATGATTTTGCTCAGACATCAGAATATTTTTTTGCTAAGACCGTCCTTGGACTTGGTAGGGGCATCTGGGGCAACACGCCGCATGAAATCCTGGGGTGAGCAATAATGGAAGACCAACAGATTGTCCGACACGTCTTGAACATCTCCAGTTCTAAGATGGAAACGCGCAAGACTTATTTAGATGGACCTATTATACATCCACATACTAAAGCAAGTGGTAAATGCTGAGTTCTATTTGGAACAACCCTGAGAGAAGACATGTCCTTTGTGGCGCGGCTGATCCAAGTATGGCATGTCTCCACCGTTGGGCACAAAATTTCCTTGAAGATGCTCTTGCCCTGGTACTTTGAGCTCTCCGCTCGCGTGGTTGAGCCAGGTACCCACCAATCCGCTGCCAAGATGTCCGTGGGCAAGGCTGCCAGGGCCGGATCACGGAAGGATCATTCATTAAACAAAACAAATTGGGTAAACTTGAATATCGCAAATCTCCCTCATTTAACATTTGTCAAAACCCAACCTGAAGCAGTGTGAGGATATAGATCGTAATGATGATGTATTTCCAGTTGAACTGCATCATCCGTACGCAGCCTTTAGTTGCCACATGGCCCGTTGCGAGGATCTTTTTTAACCCGGTGGAGCCCCAATCAACTAAATCGCTTCAAACTGAAAAGGTAAACCAAATTTGTCAAGGGGCAGGTTCATGATCAGATTTTTGGTTGGCGTGTCTATTCGGTGTTTCTTCTGGGTCACCATGCGGTTATATTCTCCCACACATCGGCTCAGAACGTCACGGAGCGCACGTGAAGTTCCAGGTTTGCTCACGCGCCTCTCCAGTTCCACTGACTCCTTCAGTCTTCCCAAAAAGTCAATCGGGCTAGGCGATTGCTTCTCCGCGGAGGTAAACTGAATGCCTGAGCTGGATACTGGTTTGCCATGGAGATTGAGTACATATATACCATAACCGTGAACTACCACCACTTCCACCCACCAAAGCCACCATCGTTTCCAAACTATTCCATGAAGATCTGAATCCAAGAATCGGAGGGCATTGAGATAGTGGTGGGCTGGGTTGGTGAAATGAGTGTAGCTGCACCGCACCCACCGAAACGAGGTCAGCCGGCGCCTTACCTCACTCAGCCCAAGCTCTTGAGGTGTCAGTTCCTTAGATGACATGAGTCTCAGATGAAGACTAGGTGAAGTAACCCGAACATTCCCATCCAAAAAGTCTACAACACGTTGAATCAACTTTTTTGTGTTTAATGAGGACCATGTCTCCAAATGGTGCGTGATGAGAATGATCCCAACCATTATCAGGATCTTACAGAATCCGTCACAGATACCCACAGTCCCGTCAAGGATGTCTCGGCTTCCATCCCCCACCGGGAACTTGACCTGCACGTACTCGCTGCCCACGAAGTAGCCCCGCTTCAGGAACTCGCGGAAGTGCATAGCCACTTGGGTGTTCTGAGGATAGTCTGGCAGGGCGGGGGAACTTGAAACTATTCTCATTGGTATGGTCTGGTGTGCTACCGTTGAAGTTCATACATGTTTTGGAAATACAGTAGACACTTGTAGAAGCTTGGACACTAGTGTCACCCACCCGGCATCCGGACTTTGAAGACGCATCCACATTGAAAGCCACTAGTGGCAGCCAAAACTCCTCGATCGTGCCATTGGGGATGGTGTATAGAGGAATCCGTTGGACGCTCAGACCATCATCAGCTTGTTTCAACACCTGGCCCAAAACCTGTCAGGGAGGATTTGGACTAACCCGGTAAATATCATAAGCATGGAATAAAGGAAAACCAGATGTGGAAAAACAGAAGAGGTAGAGTCGCCTTTTGCAAAGTGTCAGGATCTGTCTTGTTGACAAACTCTCCAAAATTCTCCTTCGCTATGACCTGAGCTTACACGTACAAAACAAGGATACTGATACCTTTTCAACATCCTCCGGGTGCAATGCCGGATCGAACAAATTAGCCCCGGACACTATCAAAGAAACTTGCAATCTTTTGCAAGACGTCATCAGTAGGCTTGTCATCCGAGAGTTCCGTCATGGGAGCCCCTGGTTGTGCCCCTCAAAGGCACAGGCTTGAGCCCCACACTCACCCAAGGAGATCCTGCAATCCCACCATATAGCATTTTTGAATTGCACTGCAGTGTTCCAAAGTGTCGCAAACAAAAACAAAGTCAATTGAAAGCGTGGTAGCTGCATGATTTTTTGTCCCCTATTCTTTGGCAAATCGCCTCAGGATCCCCGAAAAGAAATCATCTCCTGGGGAGATGATGAAACACCACCTTGAGCTTATGCGGTTTGGGCTCAGGCAGTCGTTGCCCCAACATGATATCATTCAACCCACGGTTCAAAGCTGCTGGTCCCGACTCAATGAACTTCAGTTTCGGGTAGGGAGTGTGGCGCCTGTCAGAGTCAGTAAGTGACCTGAGATACGATGATGCCCGGCTGAGGTGTGGGAAATCAACATCCATGTTCTTGGCCAACTCAAGAAGCTCCTCACAGCGCCCCTCGTCCAGACTGGGATGTAAAACCAGGTTGGTCGAATTGACCTTACTGTTCAGGAACTGCTGGGTGGCAGGCAAAAATGCCTGAGGAAACACCAGGATTGGTGCCTGAACTAAGTGATCATCACTCATCAATGCTTTCACCATGCAAAAAATATCCTGGCCGTTGCCATCCGATCGCAACCGTCGTGGTACGTTTTCATCCAAGTCAAGACCATGGCCATTCCCAGGCATGCCTCAGGGAATGGAAAGCCAGCCAGTATGTAGAATCCTATCACTCCCCCCCTTTTGGATACAATATTTCATTTAGGATCATATAATACAAACTTCTTAGAACAACCCCTTCCCTTTGCGACCTGAACGAGCCATGAATGTGAAGCTTTGCGGCACTGCAAACTGCTGCTCCCCGTCATGATCACCTTTACGAGATCGATAGCAGTTTGTCAAGGATGCACCGCTTGGCATCAAGGAGCACCAGTCACGGATCTTAGCTAGCAACAAAACCACTCCGACATCTTATTAGATGAACAGGCTTGAAACCGCCCCGCCACCAAGCCAAGCAACTTCAGAGACGATCTCACAATCAAACACCATCTGTGATTTCTCAAACAGGGGTCGCATCCGGGCTATCAAGGTCCTGCGAGCCACTGGGGGGCATGGCTCGCATGCTTAGGAACGATGCCAAACTACTTGAACTCCTTTGCACATCTCGTGGTGTTTGCAGGTCGGACTGACTGTTCAGGGCGCTGGTGACGATGGAGAAGATACCATCTCAGGGATAGGAGGTGTCGTTATGTCATCATTACTAAAACATGACCATGGGGTTTGTTTGGCGCATGCAATCAACCAACTGGAACACAACAAGTTTTGCCACACCCGACCGATATCCTCATGCGTGTGGCCCACCACCATATGGTGGTGGGCCACACTGCTGAAGAAGCCTCCCTGCGTCAACAAACACGCCAAGCGTCCCGTGTAAGAATTCCGGACTTCTTTGACAGCATTATCTGCCTGAATCCACAACCTCATTAAAAGGTGTTGAAGGGTGGTGGACAATTTGTTTGTTTGCAACAAACCACTGACGTTGGCGCGCAATCCTGATCACCCTAGTGAACGCCAAGACACTCAGGCGGAAGATTCCTGTTGCGAGCTTGCGCAATGGCATAGGCCCGATCAATACTCCGCATTGCCTCACCACTGAGCAGGCCATGGGGTTTCATGGACAACGACGGAAGGGAGGAGAGAGGCAGTTGCTGCAAAGGCACAAGCTCAATGGTCCAATTTGCACCCCCTGGAAGGCCTTCATCGGCCAAGTATAGGAAAACTCCAAAGCCATGTACCAGGCATCCCGTTAGGGTCAACGATGTACCTCACTTTGTGGTGGGAAAAAAACCGAATTGAACCAAGGATAACTGCTCACCATGTCATCGTGTCATGGGACCAATGCAATCAGGTACGGTGGGTCGCTTCGTAAACGGGCTTTTTAGGAGTCCGATGGAATGGCCACCGGAGCAGTGCAACCTTCCCCTTGTCATAAGAATCAATAATTAAGGTGAGGAGGTCACCGTGCGTCTTTGATCTTTCTCGTGCGATCCAATAAACCTCGCGATCACGAAAGGTTTTCAAGTAATGTTGTAGCAAGGCATCACTCCACTTGCAGTGTTCTGTCACATCCTTAGCTCGTATATTCGATGAGATCTTATACTAGCTCCTTCCCTTGAAGTCCAAAGGGAAGCTTACTCTTTGCAAAAAGGACGACGTTTCAAGTTAAAACCTGCTGCAGTAAAGTGTCTTGGGAGTTTTTGATGCGCATCTTCAGTTTGCTGCACGTGTTGCAGATCTGGTGTTGAGTTTTCTTATGGAAGCGCAGGGCACACCGCCAATCATCAACTACGTTGAAAAAGGTCGATTTTGCAGCAGGGACCTCCATGTGAGCCCTGCAATGGGCTTGATACAGGATAAATACGTTTGACCAACAGCCGTGGGGCAGTTCACGCAGAGCAAGCTTTTGTGGGTCATTGAACGTGATCTGGGCCATTGCACCCATCAGTCGACAGTCGATGAGCCGTTGCAAAAGCTCTGAACGGAGGTCGTCGTCATTCTTGTAGCTATTGGATTTTGCTATCATCCTGATTGGCGTGAAAGACCCATTCACTATACGTCCATGAAGTTGAAAGATGTTTATAACATGCTAAAAGTATGGTTCCATCCAAACTCTCTTGACCCAACCCAAGGCCCAACACCGAGAAACCCCGTCGGCATTGGCTCTGCTGCTGACCAGTACAGGTGGATGAGGAAATTGTTGACGGATGCGGACTTGGTGGCCAATGGTGCAGCTGGCCCTGAGTGCAGCAGTTGGCGTTGAAAGCGTTGAGAAGACGGCAGAGGAAGAAACGGAGTAACGTTTTATTTAAGAAACATGTTCTGTAAGGGCTCGCTATGTCACCAACATGTGACACTACAAAAGGGTCGTCCCTAAACGGATCAGAGTGTCCCCCGCAACCGCCCAAAGTTCTGCCATCTCTTCCTTGAAAGGTGTGTCGACATCTGCCAAGCCGGTGCTTACCCACCCCCATGCACTGTGCCCAGGCGTCTTTGCACAATGGGTATCCTGCGTGGACACATGGAGTTGAAATCATGGATACAAAGTTCTGATGGATGCACAGGGAGTTGACATCGAATCAAACGGCAACGGTCCTGCCAAGAACCACCTTTTCTTTTTGGCATCGCCAGTGTGCTGAATTTCCCAGAGTAGACTGTCTTGTGCAGGCTTGCACAGAGTCCAGAACGCACAGCACAGCTGATACAACATCTTCACCGGCATTTTGCACATACATGTGCACTTGGGTTTCAAAGCCGCTGTTTTGATCCGTTTGGTGGAAAGCCCCCGCTTTGCATAGTCTGTCAAATCCTTCTTTTTCACTGTTCCTAAAGCATGAAGAGCTTGTAAACGTTCCAAAGTCAAATCAATTGTTGACGGGTTGCTGGTCTCCTCATTGGTGGAATCACTCCCTTCCGAATCTGAGATGCTGGTAGTCTCGCCAGACTCACCAGAGCTGTATGAAGATGATGTCCTAAGGTCCCATATAGACACTGGTGAAAATACAGCCGGACTTGTGAGACTGACTAGTCACACAACAAAGCCTTGAGCTGGGCAGCCGCTCCGAATCAGATGATGAATCTTCGTATCTTCCCAGCTTTCCATTTCCATCCGCGTCAGCATCCCAACGCATGAGCATGGTGTTCACGTTCTATCATAGACCATCGTTGGAAGGGTTGACAAATTGTCACGGTTTCAACAACTGAAAGGGAAACGTGTGGAAACGCCCGAAAGGTATCAGTTCTGAATCAATTGGACCAACCTGTCACCTGTAAACAAACTCTTCATTCTGCTTAACATATTTCAGAACCAAGCAGCTGCTGATCTGATGTTGAAAGGGATTGCAAGGGACCCACTGGCATTGTGAAGGAATGCGCGGCACAGCATGGCGCATGTTTCGTTTTCAACTCTAGGCCCTAGGCACACGAAACCTTATCAGGGATGCATGCAGCTAGTGCTGCACATATGCACGGCAAGACTGCTCTCAACGCCATAGCATTTCCTCCAAGCGAATGGAGAACCTCAATTCAACCACTCGCCCCACCAATCAAGATAAACTGAGGGAACGATTTGGGATGGAACGAAACTGATGCACCAATAGACAAACCAAGGGACAGCTTCGCTGCACGAGCACAACTTTAATTTGTGGATCGGCATGCCCATGAGGAGCATAATTTCCCGGCCAATCAAGAACCTTCCAGGGGTAGTGGCCAAGAACTTTCCGGCAGGCCTTGGAATAGAATGCAGTTGGGGCAGTTAGGGTAAAACAAACCATGGGCATAAGTGACATAGGGCGACTATGACTAAGTGAAATTCCATCCACAAAAACCTAAATGTCATCACGACTAACGACTAGCGGCGTAAGGCACATCATCTCATCGGTATCATCCTGCATGACTGGTGCATGGCCCAGAGATTGGCTGATGTTGACGACGCTGAGGCGGCCATAGTAAGCCGTCAACGCATTCAACGCCTACACTCAGTAGCGCAGCGGATGCGCCAGGGTTCATCATGGTTCTCACAACGCACTTTTCAGTCAAGACCATTTGTTGCTATGTTGCAGTTGACCAGCCTCAACCTCCCTGTAGCTTGTCAATTGCTTTGAAGCAGCGGGATACTTCTTTGCAAAGAGTTTCTCTTTATTGACCTTCTTGATGTCCACCTGCAAATGGGTGACAAAATCCCGGCAGTAAGTTAGAAGAATTTATTATAGACAATATATTATATAGAAATATCTACCTATTTAATACATCCATTCTTCCGAGTACATTGAAGCGTTTCCCACCTTGTGTTCCTTTGCCCAATCTCGGTGGCGCTTCACCCATTTAGCAGAGAGGTCCAGAGGCCTTACATAGGACTCATGTTGCTTTCATGTCACTCTTGTTTGTTTTGGGTGTTGTGGCAAATCCCCGAAAACACCACCAAGGCACTTCTTCCTTTCCCGTTGGGCAGCCCGTCGGCGTTTGTCCCGTTGTACAGCTGGGTGTTGATCAGGGAGCAAAAGCTCAGTCCTGAGTCAGCCCAGGAAGTAGGCCATGTACACAGTTGTATTGAAGCTGGTGGAAATTCCAAACTAATATTGAGGTAAGAATCCATCCCGTCTTGGGCTCACGTTTCATGTCATTCAGCTTCTGGGCCACAAAGTCCCCAAAATCTGAAACATCTTTCCTCATTACATCCCTCCGGACCATGATCAAGTAGACACGCTTCCGGTCGATTGGCGCACCATACCTTCGCCTAAGTTGCATAGTATATCGATCTGCAAAACACATCTCCCGTGCAAACACCATGTTTCTCTTGGTACCGAATGACGGGTTGAGCTTGACATAAACCATCTCATACCTTGGCGTGGGCGCAGAACTTGTAAGGGCCAAGTCCCTCATGATGAGTCAAGGGAGTCAAGGGCAATTCCAGGGACCAAGGCACCCCGGGCAGTTCAATTGGATAAAGTGCCATACTTGGTTTGCAACAGTGAGGAATCCCATGACATTCTCAAGCACACACACCTTGGTTTCTCAACTTCTCATTGCCACATAGTTACCCTAGCTGAAGTTTTACATTCTTGGACAGCCCAGCGCTTGCATGCAGTGTTCAACTGAGAAACCTTTGGTCTAGTGGTTTTGATCCGCTTCACGCATCCGAACAGCTGGCGTGCATTGGGATCAGATAGACAGGCGCGATCTCCCAATGTACTGTAGGGAGTGCATGGAAACCCAGCCACATACAGACTTACCTTGGACCAAGTTAAGTGCTAAAGACATTGGGATCTTGCAAGAGGGAAGATTCCAATCATTGCAACCCTGGCGCTTTTTCTGTTAGGACTCCGTTGTCCTTCTGCTTGAGCACAGAGGAGGTCAACCTGTGTAGCGGCAAAGGCCCAGAACATCCCAGAACCTAGTTGGTCAAATAGCGGGCTACATTGACCAGTCAAGAGGCCGCTCAATGTTGAAGTTGTCCTTCAGAAATTGTCGCTTGCTAGGATTGATCTCCGATGCTAGCCTAATGTTCCAGTCCAGGACACATCAAGAGAACAGAACCGGTTGAACGTTCTGTAGAAAGACGTTCATTTTCATGTTCCCTATCCATTAAGTTCAAGCCAAGGTTCAAATGTTTGAGGCAAGAACTTTTGCCCGCAGCTGCAAACAGCTGTTGTAGCGCCATGAATGGAGTCTCAGCCCCACTACCTCATTACTGGCATAAGTGTTGGGGAGAGGGGATTGCGTATGTTTAGCCTGCAAGCATGGCACCAACCGCATCCAAGATGCAGTCAGAAACAAAGGTGAATTTCCGATTACCAAAGGAAGAGAACCATTGCTTCAATCCTGAGGTATGCTAACAGACTTTTGATAGTCTTGTTGCCGTCTTGTTTTTGTTCACCGGTTTAAGAGTGTGTCCACGACAGCCCCAAGCTAGACAAGGCTCCCGCAGACTCAAGGAACAAAGGGCCAGGCTCCTCCAGGAACTGCGCGATCTTCTCCGGAATGGGGTAGTCCTGTAATTGTCAATTTTACAGTGGCCCTGGGAATGGAATTTAGGGTGAAATACATTTATGAGATTACCAACAATCTGGTCCTCCACCAAAGAAGCAGCACTCTCAGATGAACTTGATGCACTTGAATTTGATGTCATGGCTTTCACGACGGATTTGGAGATGTTTGATGTTCACTGTTTCTTAAAAACTATGTGCCCTGGAAGAACTATGTGATTGTCTCCAGTCAGAATTATGTGAAGGCGTTTCTGTCGGGTGTTTTCCTGTAGTTGAGCCACAACCTGCAAGAGCCACTTCCCTTTTGGAAAAGAGCTACTTGCCATCGGACAAGACTATAAGGTTATGTGTTTACTAAACAGTTCTTGGATGGAGTACTCTAATTCATTGCAACTCCATGCAAAACCATATGTCTTGCTTTTAGGGTGTGAATTGTACTCCTCTTATTGAATGCAGTTGAGCAAGTACATCATAATCAGAAGGCAAAGAATTGCAAACCCGAAATAATTAAATTCCAGTCTAATTCTAATGAAACTTAAATTCCAATCTATTCAACTCTACTCTACTTTGTATATTCAAATTCAAATTTGAGTCTATTTCAATTGTTTGTAAACTATATTTTGATTCAAAGGTCTATCACTATAGATTCTAATTTACTTGGGATTCAATGCAAGCCTAATTTTAATTTGATTTCAAGCTAATTCTAACTTCATTGCTATACAAGTCAGATTCAATTGAGATATTGTATTATTTTTCAATTTAGTTTTAATTTGAGTGAAATTCTCATTTACTTCTAGAGAAGTGGTGTTACTTTGAACATGAGAGATTTTATATAGTTTTTCCAATATAGAAGAATGTGCTTTCTTAAATGAATTAAATTCACCACCAGCAACACCCACTCTCTAGAATGACACCAAAACTGAATTAGAAGTCCATGTGCATTGAACTAGAATCAACATAGGATGAAATTAGACATATAGAAACCAAACCTAATTTGCAATGACAATAGTGTAAAATTCGATGTGTAAAACAATTGAATCTGAACCGTATAAAGGCATTAAGATTTGAAATTAATTACTAGTAAATTGGAAGAGTCAAAGTTACAATTGAACCCGAAATAGAACTAAATTAGAAGTAGACTGGAATTAAATTAGAGTTGAAAGAAACACATTGAATAATAATCCATTACTTAAATTGAAATTGACTTAGAACTAAGGTAGAATTGAATTAGAGTTGTTTTACCTAGAGCTTGGTTAGTAGAACAGTATTGACTTAGAACTAAATTGGAATCTAAGTTCAATTAGAATTGAACT